TTAGTGAAACAATTGTCTGGAATATTACTATGCGAAATTGATAATGTTCATAGTTTTAAAAATTGAAAAAAAAAACAAAAAAAACAAGGTAACAATATTCTCAATTTTACTAAATAGGACTCATTGGTACAAAAAATCTTAGATAATACCTGAACTACCATAACATTTGTAAATAGAACTTTTAAGTAATTCACTCTTAATTTAAAAAAGTCATTTTCTGTTTGATTACTATTATCAATTTGTCAAATTGTTAAAAGGTTCAAAAGAGTTACAATTTTTTTTTACATTTCGCTATTGGTAAAAGGGTAATGTTGCTAATTTACATAAGTTGTAACTTTTATAGTTATAAATAAAAATATTAGAACTAAAACATTATACTAGAACTATTCACTTCTTGTATTATTTTCTATTTAATCTGGTTAGTTTCATTATTTATTAAATAATATAGATCCTACGTGTACACATAACTTTGATTGTATCAATATATACTTAAGAAGTGAAAAAAAAACAGTGATTAGTATTTCTCTAAACTTTATGTTTGAACATTGTCCTTAAACTAAATTATTTAATTTGTATTACTAGAATATATAATTGTTAAATTATTGAAATTTTTATATATTTATTCTTTAATTTGTTTTACGGATAAAGAGGATTGTTTGCGTTAGGAGTGCCGTTAGGCACGGCTAATTGCCTATTAATCGGATTAGGTCACTGTTGTGCTCTTTAACACAGTAGTGGTTGTTGTGTCTTAATTTAAGGTATATTATAGGTTTATTTTTATAATCCAAACTGTTTATTTTGTAGGGTTTGTTGAGTACGAATAAAATCATAGTAATCGGATATCAATAATTATATGATCGATAATAAAAAAAAATAAACAATAAGTTTTTCTTTTGAAAAATAGCATAAAAAATATGCAATTCGATCATATAGTTATTGATATTCGATTAATATGATTTTTGGTAGATACGAAGTACTCAACAAACCCTATAAAATGATGGTTCGAATCATAAAAATAAGCCCATAATACACTTCAAATTAAGGCACGATAGTCACTGCGGTGCCTTTTAGCTAGGGCTGTGCAAAATACCGCCCAATCCGCTAAAACCGCACCAATCCGCATTTATCCGCATCTATCCGTACCGCTCTAACCGCTAACCGTAGTTTAAACTTTAAAATTTATAATCTGCCAACCGAACCGCTCCGCTCCGCTATAGTTAATACATATATATTTTTTAACCTCCAATGAAATATTAATGTAAAAATGAGTGTGAGAGAGACTTAAGATATGAAATTTATTACAAATTAGTGACTATATGTATGATACATATTATATAAAATTACTTTGTGTTATATATCTAAAAAATATTATACAAATTAGTGTTATATATTATACACATCTATAATAATTAGTTAGAATATTCTTCAATCCGCCAAGTCACCAAAAACCGCCAAAACTGCAATTTGTTAATCTGTTAATCCGCCAACCTGCCATTCAATTTGTAAATTTACTCTCAAACCGCCTGAACTGCACTGCACACACCCCTACTTTTAGCATAGGAGTGACCCTTAATCCCTATTAATCTCCAAGTTTGATACTCTTACTCTATTTTTCGACTTTAGTTTTTGATTAATTAAATTTTGAAAAAAATAAGTTTGTTTTGAATTACTAAGAAAAAAAAAAAAAAGTTACCATAAAAAAGAATGACCCACTTAATTTTCCCATTAATAAAAAAAAATTAACATTTATCAAACATATTAAATTTCTTAAAAATAACTTAATCTTGATTTTTTATTTTTTTTTATTTTTTAAATATAGTCAAGTCAGCCTTAGGACATCTCCAACGGTACATCAAATTTTCACCAAATTTAAGTAAAAATTTTCTTTAATATCAAGTGTTTCAACGAAAGGTTTTGTAGTTTCATCAAACCACTGGTCATCCGATTGGGCGGACGACAGGCTGGTCAACTTACCAGTGTAATTTTTTCATAAATTTTTGTCTTAAGGTGGTCATCCGGGGACATCCGTCGGTGAAAATTCAACAACAATGAACAGTGATTTGATAACAAACACATTAGTCCTCAGTTTGATAAAAGAAAAGTGAAATTCTGAATTTGATACGTATTTGATGAAATCGTTAAAATAGAAAAAAAAAATATTTTTCATTAAATTTAAATTTAATGATAGTTATAAGTAACCATCGTAAATGATCTTATATTTATAAATCAATTGGAGAAGTGTAAGTCTTTTCTTGTCTGGAGCATATGGGGTATTTTGAAAAGATAGTTAAAAACAAATTTTTTGACTTTTTAATTTTTTCTTACTGTTTTATGTGAGAAGTGATGTGACCAAAAATAGGTTAAAAGTTGACTTTTGACTTTTAACCCATGTTCCCAAAATAGGCCTATGTCTAACACGCAAGATAATAAAAGTTAAAAATACTGTTCCCTCAATTTTCAAAAAATTAAGTATTTTTTAATTTATTTAAATTATTTTTATCTAATAAATTAAAAATAAAAATTACATTAAATAGTTTAGCACAAGCTTTTATATTAAAATATATTATAATAAATTTCTTTTTTTTTAAGATGTAACAGACAGGAATAGCCCATTAGGAGATTTGAAAATTTAATGATTGAATGGTGATATTGCGACGTGGTGAGGGATGAAGTTGTTAAGGGGTAACCCCTTACATTTGGGATTCTTTTTAGGAAAAATTATTCCGTAATGGTTTTTTGAATTTTTTTTTTTACAAATTAGTATAAAAATTTATGCATTTAATTATTAATGTTTATAAACTTTTTCATTGATTTTTTTTTTTTTTTTTAAAGTACGCTGCCTTGTATTTCTCCCTTCATTTTATACATATATACGTTAAGAAAATGATTCACAATGAAAAAATTTAGAATATGATTTGTTAATGATGTTTTTAAAATTATGTAAATAATGATAATTGTTTTCATCAAAAAATAGAACGGAACACAACCCTCTCACCTATGTGAGAGAATTATATCCAATTTTATAATTAATTTTTATTCAAATTAAAGAAGTGATAAAAAAATCTGTAAGATTAAATGTAACATTAATATTAGTGTTATGCTTTTGTAATGTTTAAATTTGAACTTTAAAATAACTCGAGGGCTCATATGTCTCATTTTAATAATTTATTTGGTAAGGATTTTTGTGCATATTTTTCATAAAAAATATGTCAATTTGATAATCGTAATATTTTTCATTTTATAGTATTTGTCTCGAAAATATTAATGGTCTATTTTTAAAAAGAAAATTCTATAATACATCCACATTTTTGGGTATGACCATATGCCCCAACTATCAACTATCACATATGTGATATTTGATTATGATCTATTATTGTGTTGGTTATAATTTATTATGATCTTATTTATGATTTATTTATTTTTATTATAATTAAAAAGGTCATTGATTAGTACTTGACTCAAATTTTTTATTTTATTTTTATAATTATAATTGAAAAGGATTTAGTTATACATAAGTTGCATATAATACGCATTCTAATATGAGACTGTACAGTAGTATGACATTTTTTAAAAACATATTTATTATTTATCTTTAGGAAAATTATTTATAAGTTCTATTAGAAAGACTTATGCTACATATGGTCCTACTAAAAAACTTATGTTTCTATAAGTCCTGTGGGAAGTTTGTTGACACATTTACCCTTAATATTAGTTGTTAATATCATAAATAATAGTAAAACCATATATAGAAAATTGAATATTACCATAGATCATATCTATATAAACGTAACGTAGCGTGACACCTACGTAAACATAATGTGACATATCTACATAAACGTAACGTAACGTGACACCTACATAAACCTAACGTGACACATATGATCTATGACAATATTTAACTTCTTATATAGGAAATTGAATGTTGTCATAGATCATATTTATATGAAACGTAACGTGACACCAACGTAAGCCAGCAATATTTTCACATTCAATTTAAAAAAATAAAAACTCATTAAGTTTGTGAAACATAACGTGACACGTTACGTTACGTTTATGTAGGTGTCACGTTATGTTACGTTTATATAAGTGTCACGTTACGTTACGTATATGTAGGTGTCACGTTACGTTACGTTTATATAAGTGTCACGTCACGTCTATGTAAGATCTTGTGGAATACATTCCTATTTAAATAGGACTTGAGACTCTATAAGAAATTATACAGGATTTAACCTAATATAAGTGTCTGAAAAAAGAGTTATAAATAAGTCTCCCTTTATTTTTTCACAAAAAACAAATATAATAAAATACAAATATTACATGATTAAATTATTATTTTTTTATTAGGGAAATTACATATACCCCTCGAGATTTAGCAAAATTACAGATACCTCTTGAGATTTGAGAAATTATACATAACCCCTGAAGGTTATATTTGCATAACAAATTAGGGGGCAATTTGTTATGAAAATATAAATCTCAAGGGACAATTTGTTATGAAAATATAAACTTTAAGGGGATATCTGTAATTTTTGAAATCTAGGAGCATCTGTAATTTAGCTAAACCTCGAGGAAGGTATATATAATTTGCCCTTTTTATTATAAACAATATAAATTAAGGCCAAGTTTGACATATTGTAAAAAAGCTAAAAAGTCAAAAGGTTACTCAAAAAGTTAAAAAGTTAACACTATTCACCAAAAGTCAACAATTACGGCTGCACAACTCTCAATCCTAATTGTCCCCTACAAATCAAATTTTAAAATTTTTTATTACATATTTTTTCATAAAAAGTTAAAAAGTTAACCCAAACATTCATATTTTCTTTCTCAATTTTTTAATTAAAAAAGACAAAAAATACATTTATTTGAAATACCCCAAACAACCCTTAAATATTTTATAAAATAAACCATTCAAATTATTTAAAGGAGACAATTCTCAAATTCAAAGGAGACAATTGTCAAATTCTCTCAAATTCATCTCTTATGCAAGGCAATAAGGGTGGGCAATGGAGGGGGCCAATGTGTTGAAACACATCGTAACAGCCCATGCTGCCATGCATGTTTGTTTTTAATAACTGGGGTTGGTTGCTTCCTCCATTTCTCTATTTGTTCTCTCTCTCTCATCAATACCGGGTCTCTTTCTCTCTCTCTCTCTGCATCATAAACCCCCTTAACACCTCAACGATCGAAGCACAACAACAGCAACCACTGTGCATTCAAGTTCCCACAATCAAGATCACAACTTCTTCTTCTTCTTCTTCTTCTTCTTCTTCAAGGGTTCTTCTGAATCGAAAATGGCGAAAGAGGGAGGCCGATCTTTGGCCGAAACCCCCACTTGGGCCGTAGCCACGGTCGTCTCTGTCATGGTCGGTCTTGGGTTCTTCGTTCATGCCTCGCTCAAACAGTTTGGAAAGGTTCTAAAAAAAAAACCCCATTTTTACATACATACGTATATATATATATATATACACTCTGACATTTATGCGTTTTGCAAATTTTTTTTTTTTAAAATTTATTGCTCTCGTCTCTTCTCTTTGTAATAGTGGATGGCTAGGACTAAGAGGAAAGCTCTTCTTGCTGCTCTGGACAAGATCAAGGAAGGTGAGTTGTTGGGGTTTTTTAGATCGTTTTTTTTTTTTTTTTATTCTCTGTTTTTTTATTCATCATTCTGATTTTTGTTTCCATTTTTTTTGGGTGTGTTGGGGTTTTAGAGATGGGTTTTTGTTTATTCTCTGTTTTATTAATTCATCACTCTGATTTTGGTCCTATTTTTTATTTTTTGGGGTATTGTGTTGTGGTATTGGGGTTGTTTCTATTTTTTGGGTGAATTGAGGTTTTAGAGATGGGTTTTTGTTTTTTTCTTTGTTTTTTATTCATCACTGTGATTTTGTTTCTGTATTTTTTTGGTGTTGGGGTTTTTGAGATGGTTTTTGTTTTTTTATTCATTATTCTGATTTTGTGCTGTTATATTTTTGGTTATCTTTACCTTTTGGCAGAGCTAATGCTTTTTGGACTTATGTCATTGCTAATGGGTCATTGGATCATTTTTGTCGCCAAGATTTGCGTTAAATCATCGGCCCTGAGCAGCCGGTTCTATCCATGTGTAGCAGACTCTAGTGTTTTGGAGAGACTGTCTCTACAACACCTTACAATTTCAAGTCCCAATTATGTAAACTATTCAGTTTTTCGCGAGCAGGTCAACAAGCAGAGAAATTTTTGTCCCGAGGTACCTGCCAGTGTATTTCAATTAAACTTCTATGTACATTGTGTCTTCAGTTAGATAACTTCAGTTCATTTCCTAGTACCTTTTATAATTGAGACCACTAGCAATCTCAGCAAGAAAAATGCTTTTATTGATTCAAAATCAATTCAATAGTTCTAAAACCAAGCACTATATAGAGTTTTTCTTCCAAAGTATATTTGATTCTGAGCCTGTAAGTGGAAGAGTGGCGTCTAACTTTGTGAATGGCCTGGGCAAATTAGCTCTCAGAGCCATCTAATTCTATTAATGTTTAAGCTAGGACATGTAAATGTATGGTTGATTGTAACACACGGGGTTGGAAAGAATCAAGATGTTCAGAAACAGTGAACAGCTTGAGCTCAATCTCGAGCTTGGCTAGTTTAAAGCTTGTTTGAGCTCAGCTCATTTGCTAAATTAATCAGATCAAGCCAAATTTTAGGTTTGTTTAGTAATTAAGTCAAGCGCAAGTAGACTTAAGTTCAGCTCAAATAAATACGCTCTTTAACAGAAGGATATAATTTTTTTTAAAGTTAATATTATATCAAATATATTAATTAATTTTATTTCTTTGTTTACTGATATTTCAATGATGTTTAGTAGTTGAGTAAATTTACATATTTGATTAATGAAATTTATTAATAACACCTTGCTTGTTTTCACTTTTCAAAAAACACTTTTTATAAAATTTTACTTTCTTATTTTCCGTGTTTTTTTATTTTTACTGAATTTTTTTAATATTTTAAGCAATTTTTTTACTTTTTAGACACACCTAACATAAATACACCTAAAAAAGTAAAAAAATTGTAAAAAAAATCTTTTAAAAATTCACTAAATACCAAAAATACAAAAAAAAATACAAGAATTCAATACATTTTTTGTATTTTTATGTATTTATTAATTTTTTAAAATATTTTTTCACAAATTTTTTACTTTTTAGATACATCTAAGTAAGGTACATCTAAAAAAGTTTAAAAAATGTTTAAAATTTTAAAAATATTCACTAAAAACAAAAAAACACGAAAACCAAAAAAGTCAATTTTCAAAAAACTTAATCCAAAAAACTCAAACCAAACACACTGATGAGCATTCTTTTTATATTTTGCTCATAATCTTCTCTCTTTTTCTCTTTATGTGCATGTTAATTTAAGTTTGATTTTTCTTTTCAAGCTTGAGCTTGGGCCGTTTATGTGATCGAGTTGAGCTCAAGTTTCTCAATTATTGGACAAGCCCTCGAGCTCAGCTTGAGCATGACTAAGTTTCAGTGAGACGAGCTTGAACACCGCAAAGCTCAACTTGGCTCGTTTGCAACCCTAAATAAACAAGATACCGGTGTTACTTATGGAATTTCTTGATGCATTATATAATTTGGAAAACTAATACAGAATACAGGTTGAATAAAATGTTTCCAGTGTATGTGCTTTCTCTCTGCTATTTTTAGATTGACTGTAATCTTAAGGTATTTGAATTGATTGACAACATTTGGAGTCAATCAGTTCTCAACTGAAGTACTAATTTTTAAATGTTCAGTAATTTATTTTCATGTTATGATCTTGTATTATGATGTGTGTTATGAAATTAAAAATATTTGTTGAATAGCTTGATATACATTGTTTGGTCTGTTTCCTACTAGCCTGAGTTTTTGGGACAATTGGTGACTTAACAGTATTAAAGACAATGTTGGTCCTAACTGCTTTGGAGTGGTATGAGAGATGGAGGCAGCCATAAGTGTTGTGAATCGTGATGAAGGAATTTGGTGACAAGAGGCAATGGCTATTGAGAACAACATTTCAAAAGGCAAAAGCCCTTTGAGATATTGGTAGAAGCTTTTAGAATTTTAGATGTTTAAGTGATAGGGAATATCATAATCAACTGTTTCCTGCCAGAATGTAGCTTTTCAAAGAATGATATATTCTGGAGTACAATAGTAGAAGTGCTTCTTCATTTCATGCAAGTACGCAGACTGTCTTTACCATCATAAATTTATTTACTTTTTCATCACTCCTTAATTATTGTGAACACTTTTAATCACTTCTTAATTGATGTGAAAGCTTTTAATCACTTCTTAATTGTTGTGAATGCTTTTAATCACTTCCAAAGAATATACAGATCATTTGAATTTGTTGGGTTAATTATTTATCATATATGGCTTCACTTTAGTAGCTTCAACATCTGTTATCTGTCCAGGGCCGTGAATCATTCGCTTCATATGAAAGTCTTGAGCAGCTTCACCGTTTCTTGTTTGTTCTTGGTGTTACCCATGTATCATATAGCTTTTTTGCCATTGCCCTTGCCATGATCAAAGTCAGTATTTCTTCTTCAAAATGTATCATCTTTCTGTATCTTTGGAACTTATCTTCTCAAGAGAACCCTAAGATTTTTCTTCTTGTACATGCAGATTTATAGCTGGAGAACATGGGAAAATCAAGTGAAGTCAATGGCTCCACAGGAACTACAAGGTGCAAAAAGTTTTATAGGGGTGATTTTGTTCTTCTCTTTTCTAAAGTACCATTTATCTTTTAAGAGTTTAGTTCAGATGTTCTTCATTAGAAAATTTCTATCTTGCCATATTGAAATTTTAATCTAGGTTCCCCGCAATCTGCCTCAAACCACACAAAAATGAGGCGACTATCAACTTTCATTTTTCATCACACATCCCATCCGTGGAGCCAGCATAGAGTTCTTGTTTGGCTGGTAATGCACCTTTTTAAATTCTTGTGTCTTTGCAATGTTAAAATGGGACATTTTTTTTGTTATTTATATATTCAATTGGGAAATGAATTTGCTGGCATACTACTAAACATCCTAAAAATGTGAAAATGCAGCTCAAGTAATGATTAGCTGAGGGTCTTACTTGAACATGCTTCCAGTTGCTTTGGGGTGGTAAAATGAATATGAAGCCTAAAAAAAAGTTGTAGTTGCTGAAAGACAACCTAGGGCATTCAATATGAAAGGATAAAAAGGGCTTCTTGTTGTAAATATGATCATATTTCTTGAGAAGGAAAAGTAAACGCATTTTGTTAGGTATTGATGGTCACAAATGGTTTAGATGATTAGATAAGAGAGATTAGTGTACCATGCGGATAAAATCATCAAAAAATAACTAGGATATGGTTTGTGGTTCCCTTGAATTTGAATGGCTCCATAGGCTTGTTAGATAAAATTTAAATAAAGAATTTTATCTTCTTGAATAGAACCCTGGGGGAAAGTAGGTAAATTCTCCACATTTTCTGATGCGTATATACTTTCCAGTTTTCTTGGAATTACAGAATTCAATATCCATGTGGAGTAAATAGTTACTAATGGTGTCTTCTATCTGATAAGTTCAACCTGGAGTAGTTCTTTATGAGAGCCATCACTTTACTCAGTTAAGCAACCATCTTTAAATTAAGACATTAGACTTTACTAGGCAACTCATTCCCATTTCCCAGTCGAAGTCCTTGAGAAACTTCTAGGAGATGGCAATATTTCTGTTTTACAACTTGGTATTGTGGAGGAGTATTTACACAAGTTATGGTTTAAGAAAATTGTATGGTAAAAACAGAAAAAACCAAGCAATATTATAACAACAGGCATGAAGGATGATTCCCTTTCTGGCTTGATCAACAAAGTATACCTTCCTTAGAATGTTAGTCAACCTAGATCGATTCTGACTCTTCATGGTTCGATGATGCATACTATTTTTACATTGAAATGCTATATACCGTTTGGGAAGCAAGATTTGAGGTTTTTTTGGCTATTTTAGCCACAAAAGACAAAATAGACTATTTTAGCCACAACAAACAAAACATCACATCCAACCTATAATCATTACACTCTTCTCTCACAAAAAAGTCAAAAAAGCCAAAAAGCCAAAAAGCCAACCCACTTCCCAAACCAAGCCTAAGTGAATGGTACAGTAAATTCAAGACGATGGCCAAATATCCATTCAAGGCTTCAATTGTAGGATTCTATTATTTAGCTCAGAATAATTCACTTTGTTTCTTTTATTTTCTAGAGTAGAAACATTTCTTGAATCAGATGACAACCAGTGACACGGAGTCTTGACCTTGCACACGTGTATGTGTACATTGTCATCACATTTTTTTATTTAGATTATGTGCTTTTACATTCAATTTAAATTGTTTCACAACCATTTAGTTTTGTACTAATGAACTCTTTAATTATATTGCTTTTATCTCTTGGTTTTTGGTACTCTTGGTTGCCGTTTATAGTTCTCATTTTGCCAAGTGAGTTCAGAATTCAAACTCAAGCTATTTCAGTGTACAGCTTTGTTTCAGCCGCCAGTTTTGGAGTTCCATTAATCGAGCTGACTACATGGCCTTGCGCTTGGGCTTCATTACTGTAAGCATATTTAAATGGATCCTTCCCACCTATATATTTTCATTGTGGACCATCAGAACTGGTTGATCAAATGCAGATTGCTGTATAGAAGTTTTGGGTTAAGTCATGGAATTGTGTGTTCACAGTTCTTCAACACAAGCTCACAGCATAGTGTTTTTATCTAATCGTGGGATCAATTTTGGGGGACTATGACTTGAAACACATACAACTGAACCCCGTAGGATGAATAATTATAAAGGTTTGTTGTAGTTGTGGACAAGCAACAAATTTTTTTTGGCATGTTGTCCCAGTTAGCTTGGAAACAGAAACATTTAAGAAACATAATGTAATTATGGAAATGACAGAATTGGAAACATATGAAAATATTTGACTGAAGTCTATGTAAATGCTTATACATTCTCAATAATTAAATAATTGAACTGGCCTCTACATATCTTTGCATTGCATGAAGGGAACAATGGTACAATATGGAAGTGAACTCAAGGGGAATCAAGAATAGTTGAATTAATGTCAAACAAATTAATCTTACCATGAACAAGTGTATGCTATTCTAAGTGTGCATAAGGTTCCAACCAAGTGAGGTTTTGCAAAATTATGAAAAATAACAAAAATAACGATATTAATAATAAACAAAGATCAAAAGGTTTCCAAGGTGTACGATCCTTTGGGAAAATAATGTTAAACTTTCTTTTACTTCTATTTTTTTAAAGAAGTTTAAGGTTCAATAAAGGTCCATGAATATTAGAATCTTATAACAAAAGGTTAGTTAGGGTATGGGTTTCCATGTTAAGAGAAAACATAAAAAATGTACATTGTAGTAGTATTAAGGATGACGAAGAGAAAGAAAAGGAAGTAGTACTTACAGTAACAAAAAAGAGAATAAGTTATTTAATGATGTAGTGAAACTACACTGCAAAGAGGTTGTGCGAAATAAATCAAGTAGCAGTTTCTTTAAATTAGCAACTAGGGCTGGAACAGTGTGCTAAGAAGAGATCCCAACATTGCATATTTGTTTTAAGTTGAAAAGTCTGCCTTGTCCATATTTTCATTCATATTTGTGAGATATTACAACCTTTGATATCATCTAATGCACCTACATTCAGTAGACAACTATGGCATTAAATGCAGTAACTAGCAAGTTACCAGACATATAGTTAGAAGTCTTCTACTATGACTTGTTGACCATATTAAGTTGACTCAAACTCCTGCTTCCTAACTTCCGTAATTACTGATTACCTAATAATACTTCAAGTCCCCCAAGTAAGAACAATTTTCATTTAACTAAAATAGATAAATAGAAATGACCATTACTAAATATTCCTAATAAGTGTTGAAATGGCTAATTGTTTCAGTGTTTCAGTTGAAACATAAAAATTTTGATATTCCACTAACTAATGTTTTGTGTTGGTTTCCTGCAGAAGAACTTTTCATCTATTTTGATGGAAGAGAAATGAAATTTTGTTCCTAGGTTGTGGAAGGAAGAGTTGCTTTAAGCAATTCTAATATAAATGAGGAAAAAGATTGAGACCCACAATTTTACCCACAATGACATGGCAAGTTATGCGTTAACTTTTGATTTGCCACAAACTTGACCATTTAAGGCCCAAGTTCCTTGCCATTTCATTGTGGGTGAATTGTGGGACTTAAATTGTGGGTCTCTAGCATTTCTCAATAAATGATCAATATCCCTTCTAAAAACTCACATTTGTGAAAAGATTAGATTCTCTTATAATTTTCACTTATGTTTCATGGTGCAAAAAGAAAGGGTGATGGAGTTATTTATTTATTTATTTTTAATTGGCAAATAATGTCAAAGGTTACGTCTGTACCTAATCTACCCTTACAGATCCAATGGGGACTAAACTAGGTGTATTTTTTTATACTGGCAAGTGAAGTTTATAATATGAAAATTCATATAACATTAACAACACCTACCTAAAGATTCAATAATTGCAAACCTTTTTCTTCTTTGATCTTCTCTTTGCAGACTCATCAACTACCATTGTCATATGATTTTCATAATTATATGCTTCGAAGCATGGAGGAAGAATTTCGTGATATTGTTGGCATCAGGTACTACTATTTTCTCTACTTTGGTGGTTGGAGTTGCCTTCAGATTATCTCTTAATGCATCTGCATATCTTATTTACTTGTAAGGTTGACTTCATATTCTGGATGCTAAATATTTGCAGTTGGCGGAGTCTGACAAATTTGCAGCTTCTGGATAAAATGTACTAAATCTTTTATGGGTTTTTGGAGCTAGTTCAACCAAATATAAATGATAATTTTTCTGGGGAGACTGTTAAATGCATTAAATTATGGCATACAAAGTGGATGGTGTTGGCCTTATCTTGAAAATTAGTGAATTGATCAAGTGATATCATATTACATTTACATATGAGATGATAAGAGTAGGATATGGTTTAAATGTTTCCTCTTTGGCCCCATTGGAAGTAATTGTAAATGGAAAACCTTTTGCAGTGAAAAATGTATCCCTCTCTTATAGAACCTTCTTAATTTGATAAATAGGTATGTATTGTTTGACACGTAGTTTACTAGCATTCTTCAGCTTCATTCATCCCTTATAGGAAGCACAGACACAGGACGCAGTGATTTCAAAAAAATGGAGACATGTGCATGGCAATAAAAAATTATTTTTTTATATATTTTTATTTGCTATGTAAATTAATATTATAACCACAAACAGTCAAAAACAAAACTAACACTAATTCATTATAATAATAATAATAATAATAATAATACTACTGCTAATAATAATAAAATCCACTCTTAAGTTAACTCTTATTATTTATGTCTCTTTTATGGATGATCTATTAATTATTTAAATCTAAGAAAAAAATAAAAAACATTCAATATCTATCAAAAACAAATTAATTAAATAAAGTGTCTGTTCCGTGTCCCTATGTCTAAGTCTAACACCGCTATGGCACCTGTTTTGAAGTATTGGTGCTTCATAGATCCCATTCTAATTCTGTAAAAAAAATTATCATAGAGTTTTCCCCCTTTATGAATGAGTTGTCCTAGGTAATGCTAATGGTCGAAATGGGTTACCGCTTGGTGAGCAATTTCAGTTTTTTGTTCACTTCTGTTTGATTTTACTAGAATTAAACTATCTTGACGCTACCTATTTTAGTCTTTGAGTATCAAAGTGTTTCTGATTTATCTAAGCTAACTTTTGCCCTTTCTTTATTATCATTGAAAGAATTTAGGCTTAGCAAATATCATGAATCATGCGGGCAATTGCTATTTGCCCAATTATTTAATTTTTTGTTGAAAATGATGCACTTTTAATTCTTGATCTAAACCTCTACTTTGTCTTTTGTTAGTTCTTGTGGTGGTCACAACTCTATGATGCATATCTTTTATAACAGTTTGCTTTCTTATTATGTACGGAGGTTAAGACATTATTCTTGATAGTTTTTCTCCTTTTTCTTGTTCTATTTTGGGTTGGATTTTGTTTTTTGTAGAAATGATTAGCTATGAAGTACTACGCATCTATGAGAGACATTTTCGCTATTTGTTTATGATGTAGTCTGACTTTAATATAAACACATTAAATGTTTGGTAAAACAGCTATGAATGTTATGAATGTGGATAGTACTCTCTCAGCAGAGCATATGACAGACAACTCACACTTCTTTTTGCAGTGTGCCTCTCTGGATTTTTGCCATATTATGCGTTTTCTTGGGGTTTCATGGTAATTTCTATGCACCTGACTTTTCTTCATGTAAAGCTAAGGACAGAACAGCTTTCATATGGTCTCGCGCAAACTTGACAATCTGATGGTGGTTGTTATTTCCTGTAATGGCTTTATTTATTATGATTGAGTTCTGCACAAAATCATATGTGCACACAAACAAGGCATTGAAGTTCTATGGGATGTCCAAATGTGTCCTTCGTTTTAGTTGTCAAAGCTCCACATTCTTTAAATTGTTTATGCCTTCTTTTTTATTGAAGCTAATTTCTTTGGCATGAATTGCACGGCCTTGTTCAGGAACTAATCTTTACTTTTGGCTTTCATTTCTTCCAGCCACTGTAAGTCCTTACTGCTTGATTTTGTTGCATTTGTCTTCTTGATCTCCCAGAGTCACAGTGCCTTAATTTTACTCACCTTCTTTATTTTATTTTCTTATAAAATACCCTTAAAAAAAATGTATATGAAAAGTTGATCCTGGTGATTGGTACTAAGCTGCATCGCATAGTGGTAAAGTTGGCTGTTGAAATCATGGATACATGTCCACAGACAGGAGGAGTTCATCATCACATTAAACTGAGGGATGAACTCTTCTGGTTTGGGAGTCCAAGGCTTCTACTTCGGTTCATCCAATTTATATCATTCCAGGTGAGTCAATTTACTTTTGAAATCCTATCTTGAAATGCCAACTTGGAGAGAAAATAATTAAGAAGAAAAAAAAAAAAGAAAGAATCTTTCATCTGACTAGTTAACTTTTTCTGTTTTTGACATTTGATTTGCAGAATGCATTTGAGATGGCAATGTTTGTCTGGTCATTGGTAAGAACTTGTTATAATGGTTTTACTATGTAACTGTTCATATAATATTTGCTCCTTGTTTAGGCATGTTAACTGAAATGTAAGGTATATTCCACTGTGGGCCTTGTTTGATTGGCCGGACTAAAGCGTAGGATTGGGATTACAAAACCTTGGGATTCATATCCAACATTTGATTGCAATTTTCTGTTCGGATTAGATTTCCAGTGGACAAATCCCACAAAAACGTGGGATACTCGGTACTGAGGTTTGATGTTCGCAATCCTTTGCTAATCTACCGGATTATTGATCCTATCACTATTAGTCCTTCCAATGAAAAAGACCTATAATTAGAGACGGTTCACGTGATAATTACAGAGGTAGATGTAAAAACAGACTCAAGGAAATGGACCTCTAACTTTTGTGTGCGAACCAACAGTTCATTTGGGAAATAGGACAAGAATAAATTTAATCCAAGGCAGCTTTTGTTGATTTGATAAGCATAATTGAAAACTACCTCTGAACTTCTTTTCCTGGATTAGGGAGGGGAGGGAAAACATTTATGTTGGAATAATGTTTTACCTGAAAATTACTTAATTTAAGATGAATTTCATACTGTGATCCACATTTAGACGAGGTTCATTAGGTATATTAGATGGCATAATAATATCTAGGAAAATGCTAGGATATGCACCCCCTTAAAGGTGCATACCTTAGTATGTAATTTTTTTATTTTTTTTTGGGTAAATGTTGCAATATTTTTGGTAAATTTTATGCAATCTTCTAGTAGTGTTACGACAATTTGTGATTTTGGAAGGGAAGATATTGTATGTTACAAAAATTTGTGATACAGTTGCATATTTTTATGGTAATGATATTATGTTTTTCATTGAAATGCTAATATTACAAGAAAAAGCATTGCTACAACTGAAGAGACCATTGGTGTTTTTACTTTCAAGTGGCAGTATTTATTTTAGTACCTAATATCTGGAGCTAACTATAGTTTTGTTTACAGTGGGAAACTAATCAACCCTCATGTTTCATGGAGAATCGTAGCTTCATTGTGGTCCGGTTAACATTTGGGTATATCATCGTGACATATTGAATTCAATCTTTGCCATCAAAAAATTTTATGCTTTGCTTTAATTCAATTGTAGCTGTTGATTTATTCAGACTTGTCTCTCAGTTCTGGTGTAGCTTCATCACATTCCCACTCTATGTTATCGTCACACAGGTGGGTGACTTCATATAACTCTCTCTCTCTCTCTCTCTCTCATTGACCAGTTATTTTGTTGCAGATGGGTTCAAAGTTCAAGAAATCCATAGTTTCTGAAAGTGTTAGAAGATCACTTCATGGATGGCAAAGAAGGGTAAAGTCGAGGCACGTTGGTCCGTCTTTTGCCCTCTCTAAGGAGAAAAAATCAAACACATCGTTGGATTCTGAGCAAGATGAGATAGACAGAGTTGATAGTGTTCCCTCGATCATAGGTTGCGAAGATACCTCGGGCTCAAACCAACATGTCTCTATAGTGCAGGACTCTGAAATTTCACTTAGTGATGAGAAACACGATCCACTTTGTATGGGTCCTTCTTACGATAGTTATGATGATGACTCCAGTGATGAATCTGATGACTGTAATGGCATTAATGATGCCAAAGATCGTTCACGTCTTCTTCAACTACCTTAAGCTAATTTATATGTTTCAATTTTCAATTTTCTACATATAAAATCTCTTCTTGCTGGAGATCTCCGAGTTGTGATTCATATTTATTCAATGGTCTTGATTCTTTGTTTTGCTTGTGAGGATAGGATTGAGTAGATAGCTTCACACACTGGATTTAACTAAGTCAAGATGCAGTTTGGATCGATTGAGGATGTAGATTTGCATTGAGTTCTCATGTTTACTAATCATGCTGGATGAAGTTATCCAGCCCCGACTCCATGGAAGGCTCCAAATGATTTTATGGCATGATATTATTAAGTCATCAATTGTTCCAATAGCTTAACTTGCTAGGAAATGAGTTTAACAATGTATATTAAACTATTTATGTAACAGATATTTCTGATTTCGTTCTATTGTGAATGTCCTCCCTGCAACTGACATGAGGACACTGTGGAGTGAATTTTCTTGGTGATGTTATGAGGTCAATATACTACTATTTACCTTTTTTTTTTTATTTTTTAAATTATAAAATTTGTATTAGAAAAAGTGTCAAGCGAGTTGGGTGATGACAGAAATTATTCAACGTTTTTGAAGTGAATTTATGTGATGCTTCAATTAATAAATGGTATGAACCACCATTATGTCATCAACACTGATTAATTTTTGGGCGAGGTGTTTTGAAAGTACCTTGTGTTCCTATAGTCTTGCACTACTTTTCTGAAGTGAACTTGAAGGCTATGTTCATAATTACATTTGGGAGGTTCTTTACAACTTCTATTAATGTTCCATTTGTTTTGATATAAAATATATATTTTTTAAAATATTTTTTGATGTTTAATATAATGAAAAATAAAAGTCAACAAAAAATATTTTTGATAATCAACAGAAAACAAGTTTATTTAGATAAAATATTTTTTTCTACTTTTAAATGGCAAAAAATATTTTCCTAACTAAAGTTTACCAATGCCACCATGTTATCACCACTATCATCACATCTACCACTACACCAACACCGCTACGTTCACAACCACCCTTACCATTGTTGTTGCCGCCACCACCACCACCACCACTACCACCCCCACTGCTACAATCACTACTGCCACCATCACCCAAACACCTCCACCTTCATCTCCACTCCACTATAACCATTACCACTATCACTAATGCAATCATTAATATACTAGTTTCAAAAATGCAACCAAACATTGGAAAATATTTTTTGAAATAAATGATAAATTACTTTTAATATGACTGGTTAAACTATGTAGATATAAATGTGCAAAATATATTGAAATGTATAAAATAATAAAAAATACATTTTTTTATTATTATTTTTCTCTTATAATGGGTTCTTGTTTGCATCCATTTTTGTAAAATTTCTATTGACAGATGGATTAATCTAATGATGACACGTGCCAGTAAAGTCAAAATGAAGTCTTTCATCAGTTAAGGAGTAGGTGGCATTAGAGAGGTTGATCACATGCATTGGATGGTTCAGATGGTGGAGCAGTTATTAGGCTAGGTCCAAATGATGGAGCAGCTATCAAGCTAGGTCATGGGTTTAGTGGACAACTTGCAATAAGAGTCATGTGTAGATTGGAAGTTTTTCTCTATCGATGGAAGGTCCAAATGACTGAGGGACACGGGCAACATGAAGGAAAGGGGGTTTGACAGATAGAAATAAAGAATTTGCGAAGTTTGAGGGTTGGGAAGTGAGAGAGCAATTGTGTAGTAGCAGTTGCAGGATTTAGGGGAATCGTGCAATTATGGGCCAGAGAAAAATGGGGAGGTAAAAAAGTAGAAGGTGCCAAAGGGTAATGGACATCAACAACAATCCAACAACTTAGTTCTATCTTAGGAGTAGTTTTATTGTAACTTATAAGTAGTTTCTCTCTGTAATTTGTAACCTTTGTAAACATTGGTGGTTTCATCTTGTAATTTGTAACCTTTGTAAACATTGGTGGTTTCATCTTGGAATCATTTTTAGTTTACTTTGTTTGATCTTACTGATTGTAACTTTTTGTCACGACCCAAACTTGTCCCTACAGGTTTAGTGTCGTAATCGACCAGTAATCCTTGGATTACCAAAGGCCTCTAAACAGAATAACATAAAATTAGGGGTTGCAGAAGCAAATATATAAAACACATTGTCCATAGAGCTGTGTTGACGTATATGGGACAGAAATTTAAAACTTTATATGCAATATGTGACTCCAAAAATAAAGTCGTCTTATGTCACATTCGTTACCGATGGAGCAAAAAAGGAACTGAGCCCCATATATAGATAAACAAAAGTTTGCTCGTATATCAACAGAAAACAAAGTCTTAAATGTTTACAAAACATGGCCACAAGGCTTGACTTAGGCCTGGTCACCTTCATACATAATATAAATAGTGAGCGGAAGCCTAGTGAATAAGAATTTAATGAATGATGTCCCATAGCAGATTTCAAATCAGAAAGAAATTCAGTTTCGCACACTTAACTAGAGATTATAGCAGTTATATGTGGTACATCCATTTAGCTGTCATATCATATCAAATTTGCATAGTCAGTACTGACGACCACATAGGTCCACATCTTGTGCACAAGTAGCCATAGTATTGTTACCCCCGGGCAAGGGCCACATGAATATAAGCCATAGTATTGTTACCCCTGGGTGAGGGCCATGTGCATATCAGCCATGGTATTGTTACCCCCAGGCGAGAGCCACGTGAACTATGGATGCCACAAATACATTTCAGGAAAAAAAAATAAAAAATGAACATTCATTCATAATTCACAAATAGCATTTCGAATAGCATTTCAAAAAACAGATCTTATTACATCATACAGAAAATAAATAAAGTTGAACATAGCTTTACTAAGTTATTACTCACAGTTGGCTTCAGAGGCAGACAGATAGAGCAGATAATTCAAAGAGCTTACGGCACGTGACCTACACAAACATAACAGATACATTCTTGAAACACACATCCAGATATAACTTAACCCAATATATTCATTCTTAGCGTGTTTCTAAGTCTTATCCTTATTATTATGTCTTATCCATGACCTAGGAATGCCTAGGACGCAATGAGGATGCTGAAATGTACTTGAAAACACTTAGGCAAATATGTTGAAAATAGGGGCCTCGCTCAAACGCAACTTTTTTCGCTTGAGCGAAGGTTCAAAAATGTGAGTAGTCACTCGAGCGTAACTTTCTTCACTTGAGCAGTCTGTAAACTCTACAAAAGTATTGGTTGTGTGAATTCTCTGCTCGATGGCCACTTGAGCATGAGACTAAGGTCCTCATTCGAGCGTAACTCTTGTCGCTCGAGCGGTTTGCAAAAAAAAGATAAACTTCTGGGAGCATGCATTTTACGCTCGAGCCAACTTTTGGTCACTCAAGTGGAGGAACAAAACACAGAGTGGTTGTTCAAGCGCAAGATCCGTCGTTCCAGCAGATGAGCAGAATATGGAATTTTCAGATTGCTCTTCCTTGTTCAAAACTCGAATTCAACACATTAGAACTCATTCTTTTGGGCCAAAAACTTAAGGAAACATGTGTGAACTTGGAAAACATTGGGAATTCAAGACCATTTCGTAAAATCAAGGCCCAAAAGCTTGCTAATTGTGCAAACTCAATTTGTTGAAAACATAACATGCATGAGATGGTTTGGCTTCAAGGCTTCCAAGAAATGATCATTTGGTATAAAATGATGCAAAACAAGAAGAATTCTCAAAACAAAGGTAGACTTAGCACATGCATTTGAGAATTACTTGAAATTTAACTCAAAATGTAAGAAAATGTACATGCATGCATGACATGGCTCAAGTTCATCAATTCTAGCTCAATCCTCGCATTATTCAACTAAATTCACTTGAATTTATGGTCTATACATCATAGTATACAATTCAAGGGTGGAATTCCTACCTCAACTTCTCAATGAAGCTCTAATTGGTGAGTTCTCTAAGGTTCCAAGCCAATTTCCTTGAATTCTCTAGCAATTTCTTCCAAGCTCAAGTGTTAATCTCAACCCTCTTGGTCTCTCTTTCCTCTCTCTTATGTTTGTCTCTTGTAGGCTCAAAGATGATGAGGAAAAAGTGACTCAAGTGGTGTGTATAGGCCTTATATAGACTTGCTTAGGAAATTTAATTAATCTTAACTTAAGCTAAGCAAATTGACTTTAATTATTTGAATTTAATGCGTTCCGAATCGAATTTTAATTAAATTTACCATAAAATTTTAAAAATTCTAACTAACACAGAAATCAAATCAATTTCGTAATCAGATGCCAATAAGGCCTTCAATTCGCAAAACAGAACAAAACCAGAGACAGATATTCCTACGCAAAACATATAGAAACTCATATAGTTCATAACACATGCAATTAATGCAAAATTTTCACCTTAATTACTCATTAGGCATTCTTAATCATGGGTTGACAGTTAATCATGGGTCGAGGTTATTACACTTTTGTTCCAAAGAAGTCCTTGTACTTTCAAGGTATTTGAATAAAAAGACAATCACTTGATTACTCTTGTGTGGTTGTTTAGTTAAAATTGTTGTTCAATTCTTGTCGATTGGGAGTGAGTATAATTTTTACTAACAGTTCTGTAGGACTCTTGTTAAATTATTGGTGATCTGGAGAGAAATGACGAGAAAATCTCTTTCCAATCTACTTTTTGAATAGCTTAATATGAGATAAATTGGGATGAAATGTAGTGGAAGATTTTTTTTAGAACTCATTTTTTAATATCTTTTAAAAATTGAAGAGAAGCCACTGCTCACTTTATTTCCACAATCAACTATAACCCTCCCGTCCTAATTCACCACCCATTCCTTCACTAAATTAAGAGAAAAAAAGTAAGCTACAAGTTAATGGTGCCCTTACTTCCTTTTTACCACCCCAATTCTCTACACTGGATCCTAATTTGCCACATTTTCCATTTCTTGCATTGAATCGCCACCATTTACTTCTCATTACCATCAACTAATACCTATATAGCTCTTATCCATTCATTCTCACCAATGAAGCATCATATGATCACTATTTTACAAAAGTGACATCGACATGGCTTTTTTATCAACTCACTTGCAAAATTGGGAGTTCGATCTACAATCACTTTTATCTTGATTGGTGTGGTGTTAATTCATGTTGAATAGTATTAGATAATAATGGGGTTATATGAGGGTGGGAGTGGGTTAGGTGTGTCAAAAAAAAGGTAAATGCAATAAGCTTACATACGGATAAGGTAAATGTGAGATTGAGAGTGAATATATTACATGTTGAGAATTAAAAAAATAGAGAAAAAAATAAAAAATCAACAAATATGTTTTAGGAAAATTCTATTTGCACATCATACATACTCTCACTACACACTACAAATATGTTTGGATATAAATTTATGCACAAATATCAAATGTTTATATTTAAAATTATGAATGAAAATAAATTGTTTAAATATATAGCCTGTGAACAACAACTTTATGTTCATAAATCTAAATCTGAACATTTACTATTCGAACATATTTATGATATATACTGAGAAATTATATGATGTGTAAATAGAATTACCCTTAGTTTTAAGGCAATGAGGGTAAAATAATTAATTCATAAAATTATCTTGGTGATGCCAACATTGACCATTGTTAAAGTATGAATTAACATAGGGATAAATTTGTTATGCCAGTGCAAATATTGAAAGGGAGCTATTTAAGTGTGCAACCTCCTTAAGGTTGCACACCATATGCAACCCAATTTTTAGCCATTAGATTACAATAATTGATCAAGACCATTGAATTGTTTAATCATAAAAAATGTGAAACCGGGGCAACCGGTTAATCCTCCTATTTGCATGATTGCATCCCACTTTCCTTACTCTCTCTATTTCGTCTCTCTTTCTCTCTCTCTTATTGTCTTCATCTCTAAACCTTGATTTTCATTAACAGCGACAAGCCCCTGCTGGGTTCCATTAACGAAGCTTTGTAGGGAACAGTATAACCCTTGATTTCCAACAACAATGGAACTACAAGGCTCTGTGGGGTTCCATTGCTGAAGTGAAGGCGTTCTCTCCAACTAGATATCAGGTATGGAGCTGTCTCCCTATCCCTGTCTCTGTCTCTGGCCTCTTCGCCTCAGTGATTTTCCCTTAACTAAACCCTCATCCTAACTTCAATCCCTCTATGCTTCGCTCAAATCGAAACCCCTCCAGTGCCAAGTAACCTCTCTCTTTCTGAATCAAGTGTTTGTGTTTGCACAAATAATCCAACTGTGTTAAAATGTCATGCTTGTGTTTGTGTTAACATTTTTCAGTCATCTAGTAATTGTTTGTACTAATGTCATGTACAGTATGGTCCCAGCCGAAGTTAAAAGTGAAGGTGTTGATTATGACATTCCAAATGAAGTAGATGGCATTTGTTTGATCAATGAAAGTCTGGCAGATCATTGTCATGGTTGCAAAGCTAGTCCGCGCAATGAAGAAGCAACCAACATAAACGTTGAAGATGGCCGAGCCAGTGTGAAACAAGAAATGGTTGACGATGCTCATGGCAATGACATGGTTGGTGAGGTTGAACGTGCTGTTCTGGAACAGAAATTTGATTCGCTCGAAGATGGAGAAGCTTTCTACAATGTGTATGCTAAAGCCAAGGGATTTAGTATACGAAAATCTAGATTTAACACAAATAAACAGGGAAGGGTTGTTAGTAGGCTATGGTTGTGTTCAAGGGAAGGCCAGAGATTACCAAAATACTTGGACCGTGTTGCAGAGAAGAGAAGAGCTCCCAAGGCACTAACAAGAGTAGGTTGCAAAGCACAATTTTGCATACGGTATGATCCAGAGGTTGGTGAAGGGGAAAAGTATGTTGTGACTCACTTCATCGTAGACCACAACCATGAATTGGCGGAACAACATTGTGTGATGTATCTGAGGTCACATCGGGGTTTAAACAGTGTTGACAAAGCTTAAGTAATGGCTATGTGCAACATGGGTGTGAAGACTAGCCAAATCATGGACTATATGGTAAATCAATCAGGGTGTTATGAGAATGTTGGTTTCATCCGTATGGATCTGCACAACCATATTGAAGCTGAACGTAGAGCAGAAGTTGAGGATGGTGATGCGTAGGGTGCTTGGGTTTACCTATGTGCAAAACTTGATGTTGACCCATGTTTTTTTTCGAGTGATGCTAGGGATCATGAAAAAAATATCATGAAAATGATTTTTCACCTTTAGATTATACATACAATAAAATATCACATACTAATCAAAGGATGAAAAATTTTCATGGTATATTTCATAATCCCTAATATTATTCTTTTTTTACATGTATGATGTGTGTAAGGATGACAAGTTACAAAATCTATTCTAGGCAGATTCGAAATCGCAGGCTGACTACGCAAAGTTTGGTGATGTGTTGATATTTGACTCAATTTATCGTACCAATGCGTACAAGAAACCTTTTGTCATGTTGGCTGGTGTGACTAACCACTTCACAACCACGATATTTGCATGTGTTTTGATAGCTGTTGAGACGATAGATAAATCCACATAGGTTTTGGAAACATTTATGGAGGCAATGGACAATAAAGCACCTATGTCCGTACTGACAGATGGGGATAAGGCGATGTGAGAGGCAATCAAAAGAGTATTTCTAGACGCAAGACATCGACTATGTAATTGGCATCTTGGGAAAAATACCGTGTCAAATGTTCACAAAAGTGGCTTTGCACATGCTTTCAAGCAGTGCATGGAGATAGAAATGGATGAGGCAAAGTTTGAGGATGATTGGATGAGAATGGTCAAAACATTTGGACTTGAAAATAACAGTTGGGTGTTGGAGACATATGAGAAGCGTCATATGTGGGCTGAGGCATATATGCGTGGCCATTTCTTTGCTGGGATGAAGAGGACTCAGCGCTCGAAGAGTATGAATGCTTATTTCAATCCCTTCCTTCAACATAAATTGAAGCTATATGAATTTGTTAGGCACTATGATCGGGCTCTTGCAAGGATAAGGTATAACGAGGCTGGAGATGATGCCGAAACAAATAACACTTTTTCGGTATTGATTACTCCATTGCGAGATATAGAGAGACATGGAGCTAAGCTATTCATCCGGAGTATATTTAAAATGTTCCGTGATGAAATCTTAGAAGAGGTAAAGTTGAATGTGAAGGACGTGTTCTCTTTGCCAGATGGACAGAAATGCTACAATATTCATAAGTACAAGGTGAAGGATAGATCGTGGATAGTAACACACAATCCAGTGGATGCCGCAATGATATGTTCTTGCATGAAGTTTGAGTCATTCGGGCTACCTTGTTGTCACATGATATGCGTTATGAAAGCTGAAAATTTAACGCAAATTCCCCAAACTTTTGTGCTACATAGATGGACAAGGGCTGCAAGTAAGGATGGCCAGCTATGGCGTCAACCCTTAATTGATAGCACTGTAACACAGACTGCTTGCTATGGGATACTGAGTTTTTCTTACAGTGAAATGTGTTTCTATGCCTCGCAATCAACTGAAGGTTTCAAAGAGGCTAGGGATGCATGTCTTTCGATGACGAGCCAGATGAAGGAGTTATATGAGAGGAATCACAACAATGGGGATAGAGACAAAGGGAAACATTCAATCCCACGACAATTTGGAGTAGAAGATCTTGATCTTGTGAAGACAAAAGAGAACCTGGGACGGGCCTCGTCCAACTGTCGAAGACCAAGAAAATGTGGGAAATGCAAATGCATTGGCCACACGAAACGAACGTGTCCTAAGGTGCAGTTTAGCCAAACAATGGGTAGTACCTTGGCTGCAGATACAATCCACATCAGTGACCGTGAGAACAATGCAGACTCATCGCCCATTTGCTACAAAACTGGGTTAGTGGATCCAAGTACACCGCACATTAAGAAACGATGTCTATTTTTTGATGTTTCTCCTGATTCAAAACAACCTGTGGGCCAATACGGTAGTGTCACAGCACAAGTGTGCAAAAATGATTCGATCACAATTGATGAGGTGAATTAGATGATTGTATGATTTACTTATTCCCTTAATTTATTAGGTACAGAGTACTAGCTTCTGAAAACACATCATTGGAAAGAACAGGGTAGATATGTCCGTAGTTATGATTTTGCACGGATTGCTGTACGTAACGTGTAAATAATTGCTAATGTACAAGGCTAGGAAATGGCACAATGTTGCTTATGTACAAGCCTAGGAACAGTTATTTTGCATATTGTGTAGAGTTATTTTGTCATTTTTGTTTGCAGTGACTTGTCATTTTCAGAAATAAATGAAGGTGAGATATATATGGGTGTCTGTTGTCTGTGTATTGTTTTAGGTTGGAAATTGGCTTATGTCTGTATTCCAAGATTCCTATTGGGGGTTGCATGTTTCTGTTCCAAATTTGGTTGGATCTAACTGAAGGGTTGCTGCGATGTGGTTGACATCTAATGATATGTTTTGGCTTCGTAGTGATTTGTTATAACTTGTTTCGGGAAATTAGTATTATATTTTGTCTTCTGATTAAAATATGAAATTTATCCATGTGGTTTTGCAAGATTGCCAATTAATTTTTGGGTATTAGTTGGACAAATTAGCCCAACGAAGTAGTTTACTTTATGTCTAAGCCGATTGGTATATGAATTACAAATTACAAACAGGAGTTGTAAAATAATTTCATGTTAACTATGAAAGTGATGGGGAAATTGTTAGTTAAATTATGGTGGGCCTATATCGACAGCAACCAAGCATTAATTCAAAGATGACAATTTAAAGAAGAATAATCAAGCAATTGTGGTATTGGTTCGAATGCCTGAAAAGGGTGATGACTTATTTGGATAAACTGATGGTAACAAAGTAAACAAGTGAAATGAACTTTCTGATATGAGCCGATGGTAACAAATTAGAGAAGATAAACCTTTGGTGATTTGAGGTTGAAATCAGCAAAGTTCACCCAGTTACAAAGTACAAATTACAAGGGAAAAAACTACTCGCAAGTTACAATTTGAACTACTCTTAAATGTAGAATGTAAGTTGATGTGTTGCTGTTGATGTCCTCTCTCTCTGTAAACCTTCTGCCCTTTATAGCTTTTCTTTGCCGCGATCCCATGATGTTCTGAATCACTAACTACTGCTATGCAACTTCTGTAACTGCACTGTCATTTCCAAGTCTTGAAACCACATAAAACCATTACTTTTACCTGTCGAACTGCATATCCTTGAAGTTGCCACGTGTCCCGATGTCCTTTTAGCATTCCCTCGACAGATACAGACTCCCACTTCGTTCAGGTTTCCCCTTGGAGACTGGCCACTAAGTCCATGATTAGTGCCAGTAACTGCTCCACCATCTAAGTCAGGTGGCATGCAAGATTCAATGGTTGTTGATGACCCTTGTCATCTGATACTAAATATCCACTGTGGATTTGGCATGTGTCCTGAATTGAGTGGAGCACCTGTTAACAGGATCTGGCAAAAGTAGATGCAAACATAATTTTTTTTTTTTTAAAAAAACAAAACGAATCATAATTTAGCTTCAAATATGAGTCAACTTAAAAAAAAAATAATAATAACAAAGTAATTTTCATTTTTATTATTATAAACCTGAAATGTATATTTTGTTTTCAACATAAATAAGTTGTTTATTATGGTAAATGTAGGACAACAATTGTGTTTAAGTCATTACAATATTAAAAAATGGTATTTCAAATATTAAGAAGTTTACTGACATTCAATTTGTTGATTAAATTACTGCTTGCGAAAATGATTCAGGTTAACGAAATATTTACTATGATTTGGATTAAAGGAAATCCAAATATTAAGATTTCAATTACGACATGGTAAGTACTCAGCTGTAATGTTTGTAGGAGGCTGAAACTGTAGGCTTTTGTTATCGCTCCAGCGGTAAGTTGCCCCCTTCAGCTATGGGTATGGGTTTTCCTTAAATATAAACCTAATGTTGGGGTTAAAAAAATAGCTTTTTCAACATCTATCTTTTGTTGAGCAGTGTCTGTCCTTCAACTGAACATGGTTAGGCATTTCTTAAGTTATGGAATTTGGTGTGTAATTGTTTGGACGTACTTGTATTCATGAACCTGTCGACAGGTGGACTAGTGAAAAAATGACACATAATGGATTGAAAGTGAAATATTACCAAAGCAATCTAAGGGACAAATGGCATGAACAGCGTGGTTATGTGCAAAAAATGGTGCAATCAACTCTGAACCACTTACTAGCCAAGTGTTGTTGTTCAGTGGCCCACTTGGAAAGGATCGTGATTGTGTTAAATGTCAAACTTTAGCTCATAATGATGAGGGACATATGGCAGCATGGTGGAAAGGAAGGTTGACAGGGAAGATTGAATATTTGGCACAGTTTGAAGATTCAAAGTCAGTGGGCACTTATAGTGAGTGGCTAAGTGTTGTGGTTCAGTGGCCCACTTGGAAAGGATCGTGCTTGTGTTAAGTGGACAATGTTCTGTCGATTTTTGTGTCATAATGATGAGGGACATGCGCCAGCATGGTGGAAAGGAAGGTCGACAGGGTAGATTTAATATTTGGCAGAGTTGGAAGATTCAAAGTCAGGGGGCAGTTACAGTAACAATTATGGGGTAGAAGTGTGAGATCATGCAATAATGGGCCACAAAAAGAGTATACGGATATCAAAGCCTATGATGTTGGAAGAAGATAGGACAACATCATCAACAACACAAGTTAAGAAGTTTATAATTCTTACATAATTTAGGAGTAGCTTTAGCATTAAACGAACAGGTACTTGTGAAAACTGTATCGTGGAAACCCACGATGTTCTTCTGTTTTGTGTGGTAGATCTTCAACTTGTACATTCCTTTAATGTTTTATGGCATCAAACCATGTCTAACCAAGATCCTTTTGCTGTTCTTCGAAGCCCAACTTGTTGAAGGAAGAAAAAGGTGCTCATTTCTTTTCTTATGTATTGGACCATTGAGCTTACCATCATCGTGAGTAGAGTCTTCCGAGTACCATCATTGGCATGGCACAAGATTATTTGGGCAGCATTAAGTTCACCTTGCTTTAAGCACATGCCCACTTTCGTACTCGTAATCAGTTGACGATATAAATATTGCACTCAATCAAATGCAAAGAAACATATTTGAGTTTCTTGTTTTTTTTTGAAATCGGTTCCTTGTCGTACATGTACACGTATTGTACTATTAAAACATGTATTGTTGTTTCGTACTTGGATTGTCCATGCAGTGGCTTGTACATGCAGTTCACCCATGGCAGGACTTTCAGGTCTTGTCGTCAGGTGCATGTTTTTCATTGGAATCAGTATCCAAGTCCAACTTCTCAGGCATTTCAATCAGTTTGAATCAGTTGCCTGGTAACTTTGGTTCAATTGTTTACTTGAAATTGTTGTGGATTTTGTGTCCATTCATAATAAGCATGATTTATAGTGAGACTTGACCATGAAATGTTATTTCTTGTAAGTCGTAATACCAAACTTCTTTACGTGCTTTAAGTTGGGATTAATTAGGAATTGGTGTTATGTTATTGTTTGCAACATAAAATTTGTACTTGTTTGTTCTTGTTGACACGTTGATCAACCACAACATGACATGTGCCAAAGTCAATGTCAGAGTCTATCAGTTACACATATGAAAGGGGTTTAGTTTAACTGCATATGAGGGCCCATATGGTGCAGCAGTTATGAGGATATGGCATGGACTAACTGGATGGATTACAGAAAGGGTCATTGCCAGAATATAGAGTTTGACCTGTCGATGTGAAGCCCAAAATGTGGACGGATAGTTGGAAACATAATAGTAAGGTGGTTTGATAGAAGAATTTCAGTAATTTGTTGACCACATCAGTTTGTGTCGACAGGTGGACTCTTGTTGGTGTATTCTTGTCATTGCTATTTGTTTGTTTTGTGGGTCATTTTTTTTCTTTGTTTTGGAGAAAATTATGGCATTCAAAAACAAACCCACAAAGAAAGACATCGCTTAGTCACATTGGATTTGTACAAATTCAAGTGTAATTGCTTCGATTTATTCATGACATAGGGTTACATTAGCCCACCCAAACATGTACCTATAATTCCATTGATCAATAGAGTTGGCATATCCAACTTATGCATAGTTTGGTAAGTACTTACAGGCCATGATAAAAGCAAACAAACATTAGTACTGTCCTTTGTTTGTTCTAGTCCCAAACATTTGAATTATGTGTACAATCAATATGCATGTAAAATTATTATTATCATAGCTGTGACCTCAAAATTGTCGCGACAAACTGATTCACTCATCTTCACATAGTACTTGTACTACAAACAAATTAGTGATCCATCTTTACATCATTGTTTCTAAACATCGGGAGGACTCATATTTACACCCCTCTGCAAAACAATTACTACAAAAAAGTGAATCGTGGTTGGCCATCCAAATTATTGTCGTACTGGCAGCCCATTCCCCATCACTGCCCTATTTGTTGCAATTGCAATCAATCATGCACGAAAGATACTCACCGATCTTTGAATTATTTACATCCATAAGGAAGTCAAGCAAAAACTTCCGATGCACAGAAGGATGAAACTTTGTAGAGAAAGCGAATAACAGAAATCAGGTACAGTTACAGTTGTAGGAAATAAAAGGATTTCTTTCACAATTAGAAATGAAGCGGTAGAATGTACCTTGTGTGGACCGCTGGGTATATCAAGCCACTGCATGTACTTGATCACAAACATCCCATAGTCGAAAGTGCTACAAATGAAATGTAACATTAAATTTCTCATAAATATAAGTAGGTTCGTTAAATAAGTCATTCAAGAGTCAAATAAATGTGACGCAGGGTTTGTGGATTACTCGTCTAGTTGTTGTAATGGCCTTTTGTCTAACATCAGGACGTCAAAGCTACGCACGTCTTGACCATATTTATTTCCAAACTATAGTTGCAGTAAGGCATGCATTGTTTGAACTTGTTGCAGAAGGAGACGGTTGGTTTACGTAAAGGATGTCACAGTTTGGAAGTAGTTTCCTCAAATTTAGC